CAGCTGCAGGAACCACTGCGGTTTATTTCTGATTCTGACGTCAGTTCAATCCTCAGCACGTGGTCCGTGCAATACAGTGCATGACTTTTTCACCAGAATCACCACGGCAACTAACACATCACCTATGTTCAGGGTGCCGTTAAAATCAGCCGGATGCAATTATTTACAGCATGTTGGGTGGTTTTACCTGTGGAAGGTAAACCAGGTAAACTTTGCTAAACCCACAGAATGAAGCTCCAGCTCTGTGCGTTTAACCCGGGCTTTAGAAAACGTCTCAAAGTCGCTCTGCTTGATGCTGATCTGCTGCTGAGTCTCGTCACACTGCTGGAAACACGCAGCACACATCAAGAACACCTGATCAGCCAATCACATTCATTCACTGTGATCTGCACCTGTCCTTCCTGTGGGACCAGAAGCTTTAATGTTTAAATGGACCCAGTTTAAAGTGTCTCAGCTCTAATGTGCAGCCGTCACCTCAGAACCAAACAGCAGCACTGAGCGCGCTCAGAGACAAAATCATTCATTTACCGCTCTGTGCCAGAAATCACCAGATTAACCTGCATCTTCATCATTTGTCTGATGTACTGTTAGATTTTTATGTTCTTGATAGATTTTATCACCATTTATCATCTAATAACGTCTCTGACCGGAGCAGCTGACACTCGCAGGGATCGTTTATTAGCATGTGAGCACCGTGTATAAGCTGTGAGGTGTTCCAGTTCAAATCACGATAGAAGGGCTGGCACCACTGCTCCACCTTCTCACACATTTCCTTCAATGTGGTCCACTGACTGCTGCGAATCAGTGGAGTTCAAACTGGTTTAAACCTTCTGGGAGAGCCAGAAAAAGGCCCTGTGAGCGCAGCTGCTCAGCAGACACAGTGTAAACACAGAGAAGCATTTAGCAGCTAAAGAGTGCCAGGCGGGGTCAACAAAACATCCTCCACCTCAACTTCAAATATCGCCCATCTGCCCGTGCTGTGAGGAGTTACTGAAACTTTGACTCTCCTCCCTCTCCTGCACAGTCATGGTGTTGTGATGCTGGGTTGGACTGGAAGAAGCACTGACGTTTCCCTTCAAAGTGACAGCGTGCTGATGTTACCTGAGGGCCTGAGTTCATTATATGCTCTCTCACTGAGTCTGTGATTAATGTCACTTTACCTTCCTGCACTCCTGACTCCGCTGCATGTTAATGACAACATTAGACAAACTCACCGGCTCCGTGTGAGGAAATATTTTAATGTCTTCAAGGCTGAAGGTTAACCAGGCCAAGGACGGCTGCCTCAGGATCAGCCGCGCACACACCACGTGATCCGGCTCCACCTGCATCTGAGGCACGAACAACAGCAGAGGAAAACCGGCTCATCAGAATACATGATCCACTCATCCATCCACCCATCATCCACCCACCCACCCAAGGGTGTGGCCGCCTCCCATCCGTGGCCACTGGTATAACACAAAATACAAAAACATGGACCAAAGTTGTTGAAGAACCAGAAGCTGCTGTGATTCTGATCAGAACGTTTTCGCCAACATTTCTTCAAATCATTCGAGTCCTTTGAGTCCCGACGAGGTGCAAAAATCAGTGCAGCAACAGAACACAATGAATCTCCCTCAAGGCTAAATGTGACGAACACTAAACCCATAAGAAGTGACTGAACATAATTTATGCTATCACAGTTACCGTTTAAACTCATCAGCCTCGCAGTGCCGACTGAAGTAAACAAAAATGAAATCTCCATTCACCACCTGGCTCTATTTGCATGGAGATTAAACAGAGGAAATGAAGAATAAGTCACTGTGTGTTGTCTCCAAACTTACAAACTTATTGTGAGTTTCTCAGGGAGCCGGCTGGCTCGACGCCACCGCAGCTGAGAGGGAAAACAAACTGGAGCCGGCTGTGGTGGTTTTTATGCCCAGCGGGATGCATCGATCTACAGATCTGACGATTGCGGTTAATCCTCCTGTCATTAGCAGAGGCACAGCAGCTCGGTCTGGCAGCACAACAGGCGGCACGGTTTTCTCAACTTCTGCCATCAGAAGCGAGGAGGCAGAGCGGCTAACGAGACGCTGCTCTGCGGCCCGTTTCCTCTCGTTTCTTTACAGAGCTGCTCCCAAACTTTGACCTGCAGGGCCTTTCTAAACCTCTGGTGGGTTGTCACACTGCTTTGTGTAGGGCCACTACCTGTAATACTGCAGGTAACACCTGATCACACCTGGCGTGATTAGTTGGAGAAACATTTTTGCCCCTTTGGTCTCAAACACATCTGGTATAATTCAGACATGTGATATCAGCTTCTCATATATTTTGACTTCCTGTGCTGCAGCTGGCTGAAAGCTTCATTTCTGCTGGCTGAGTCATCACGGTCACTGATCTTTATATCAAAGGGTCAGCGTTAGTGTTTTGGCTAATGCCAAGCTGGTTTCTGGTACTAGATGAGACCATGTTTAGATGAGAGGGTAATATGTAGAGTCTAGGGAGACCGACTCTCGGCTGGAGCCTCTGCTGGACGGTAGAGGAACTGCAGGTTCAGTGATGATGTTTTTCCTGATGTGAGTTTTGTTATGAGCTGAGAATTGTCTTACGTCTAAAACTGTGGAGGACAATGATACATTTTAAACACACACCGTTATCATGTTTACATCCAGGGAGATGTTTGTTGCACAGAGAGCAGGAGAACCAGTCAGTGACGTCCATGTTTCAGAGGTGGAGTAAGAAACCATCCTTTGTCACTAAGAGCCTGACGCTGTTCATCACACTTCCTCACAACAACAGTATCTGAACCCAAACAACCATATTAACCCTGAACAGAGTGTGGAAGGTAGAGTAAAAAATCCTGCAGGAAAACGAAACAAGCGCATAGACAGAGATCAATATGAGCTGTGAGCCTCCAGCCTCCTGCACTGCAGAATTTCAGCTCGCTGAAAACAGACCTCAGCAGCAGATGTCTCAGTTTCTCCTGGTGTCATAAGTGCAGCAGTTTCTTTTAACTAATGGAGGTCATTCCTTAATTATTTAACAATGACCTTGGGATGAGTTTAAAAAAAGGTCTGATATAAAAGAAAACTACTTTTGATGTCAAGGTTCCTCCTCAGCACGCCTGCAGCGTTAAAGGTCATCACAACAGGTGTGGCTCTTTGATGCACCGACAGCGTGAGGACAGGTTACTCTGTTGTCAGTCATCATGTCCAAACTAAGCACAAACTGTCTAAAAACGAATGCAACATTATAAAAAACTAAAAACAAGTTGAATGAAAAATAGCACGTGACCTGCAGCGTTCCCTCACATCCTCATATACGACCTGCTGGGAAGGTTTGACTGAGAGATCAGATCAGTAGGAAACAACCGGTTTATGCATTTTAAGATAAAAAAGAAATGCCTTTTAAATTGTTTATGATGACATGATGCCAGAATGATTTCCAAGCTACATTCAGGTTTGAAATGAGTAACGTTTGAACTCAGAGGAAACGACGTGTTTCTGTACAACAAACTTATCAGATGCTAAACAGGAAACACTGATCATCAAGTGTTGTGAAAAGTTCAGGTTTTAATCTTCAGCAGTTTTGCGTTTCTGCAGTCGAATATGTTTATGGCTGCTTTGTCGTTAAACCGTAGCAGTGACTGAAAAGCCAGATTTAAGGTGAGAAGAGGTGAAGCCCACCTGCGTCCGGTGAATGGTGTAGTAGTCCTGGGAGCCCCCCTCAGTGTGGGGGTTGTCCATCAGGGGCAGGTCTCTCACGGCCGTGCACCACTTGGCGGGGGCCTCCTGCTCGGGGTTCCTCCTCAGCAGGCGCACCGTCACGTAGGCTGTGTAGTAGTTCTTAAAGGTGACCTCCTCGATCTGGAAGAAACGCAGTGATGCAGGAGAAACATCAGCTCCCAGCACAGCTCGGATATTTTAGATATTTAATTTCTATTTAAAAAAGACTGAAAACCAGAACTAATGACAGCAGATGTGTTGGATTCAGCACGAATATCAGAAAAAATCTGCAGAAATTTGACCTCCTCAGGGCTCGAGATCACTTTAATGGGAAATATTATTTAATAAGGGCTTCCTTTTAATCTGTGAGTGCATATATGTAAAAACCTTCCACACAGAGAGACGCTAAACTCCAGAAGCACTCCTAATTAAATACTCTCAACTTTTCCCTTCAGCCTCCGCGGCTCGCCTCAGCTTGTCCTTCAGGTCTTCTAGTCACAGTCACGAGAACAAAAGCTTTGGATGTTAGCTTTATCTGATGTTATAATCTGATTAAAAGAAACATTAAATTGTGACTTGATTTGTATTTTGCATTTCTGACTGGAACACAGGGCTGCTGACAGGAATAAAAGAAAGTTCCTTGGTGATGTGCTGGATGAAGTGAAACTTCATTAAACCACGCTGGGCCTGGAAGGGAAATGCCTCCCGTCCATTCTGGGTCTTAACCTATTATCTAAGAAACGCTGTATCTGCCAAATCTCTGCATTAAGGCCTAAACGGAGCGCACAGCTCGCTGCTGAAAACTCCTTTGTGCATTAGTGGCTCCAGGCAGACGCCTTTGAAGCTCGCAGCTTTGAGCTAATGAGGAGTCACTCTGCATTAAAGACGACTTTAAATTAGGACTAAATGCTGAAAAGTGGGTCAGCACCCAAAATGTTTGAAGTCGCTCCCAAGACAGGAGCACAGCTCTCTATTTAAACAAATGCTGTGAGTGCGTGCGCTGCTGCTGAGAGGCCCAGATGGAGGGATGTTCTGCTGCTTTCAGGTTTTTAACTTTGCTCTGGGGGCAAAAGACAACAAACAGAACTTTAGTGACGTCTTCCTCCAGCAGCAGAAAATTCACTTCCAATAACGAACACAAACAAAGTCAGGCTGCACGTAATAATTACTGTTACTGAATATCTTATTGTGAAATCGTGTCATTATTTTGTCTAAGACATGTGAACAAACAGTAAAAAGTATCTAAGAGTGTCTGGATGCATGTTCAGTAATGCAGGTGATGTGAGAAAGTCGATTGTGTCGGCCTGGACGCAGCGTTTTCTCAGGCCTTATAAACCGTACAGCTGCGTAACAGCCGACACCAACACCACTGACTAACAGTGAGGCGAGATCTGCTTCATGACTGTTAATGTGCAAAACTGCAAATCACTCAACTGAGATTGACGGGGGACATTTTACAGTCAACGTGAACAATAAACAGCCACGGATCAGTATTTAAGGTGTGACTCATCATCCACTGGAGCACCAACGGAGAGAAAGACAACTGCTGCCTAAGCAAAAGCCCTTTAACAGGCATAACTTACAAAATAAAAGCCTTCTGTTGTGTGTTTTCATTATTTTTATAGATTAATTATTAGCTTCTCTGTCTGCAGCTTTTCTTTTACCTACAAAAACATCCTTCAGCTCCACTGTGTGTCAGCGCATCAACATCCTTCTTGTTCTGGCTGTTGATTGGTTCTTTGATTGGAGCCGGAGACAGACACCTACTATTATGATCATCATGACTCAATTCAATTTTATTTATATAGCGCCAAATCACAACAAAAGTCGCCTCAAGGCGCTTCATAGATACAGAGAAAAACCCAACAATCATATGACCCCCTATGAGCAGCACTTTGGCGACAGTGGGAAGGAAAAACTCCCTTTTAACAGGAAAGAAACCTCCAGCAGAACCAGGCTCAGGGAGGGGCGGGGCCATCTGCTGTGATTGGTTGGGGTGAGAGAAGGAAGACAGGATAAAGACATGCTGTGGAAGAGAGACAGAGGTTAATAACAGATATGATTCAATGCAGAGAGGTCTGTGAACACACAGTGAGTGAGAAAGGTGACTGGAAAGGAAAAACTCAATGCATCATGGGAATCCCAGGCAGCCTACGTCTATTGCAGCATAACTGAGGGAGGATCCAGGGTCACCTGGTCCAGCCCTAACTATATGCTTTAGCAAAAAGGAAAGTTTGAAGCCTAATCTTGAAAGTAGAGATAGTGTCTGTCTCCTGAATCCAAACTGGAAGCTGGTTCCACAGAAGAGGGGCCTGAAAACTGAAGGCTCTGCCTCCCATTCTACTTTTAAATACTCTAGGAACAACAAGTAGGCCTGCAGAGCGAGAGCGAAGTGCTCTAATAGGGTGATATGGTACTACAAGGTCATTAAGATAAGATGGGGCCTGATTATTTAAGACCTTGTATGTGAGGAGCAGGATTTTGAATTCTGGATTTAACAGGAAGCCAAAACAGGAGAAATCTGCTCTCTCTTTCTAGTCCCTGTCAGCACTCTTGCTGCAGCATTTTGGATCAGCTGAAGGCTTTTCAGGGAGTTTTTAGGACATCCTGATAATAATGAGTCGTCCAGCCTGGAAGTAATAAATGCATGAAGTAGTTTTTCAGCGTCACTCTGAGACAGGATGTTTCTAACTTTAGAGATGTTGCACAAATGGAAGAAAGCATAGAAGTTGATAAAGCCTCAGGAGGATGTCAGACAAAAAACATGGAGGATGCTGTAGGTAACTGATCATGTGAGGCACTCGGGGGCTCTCTGCGTTTGCTTACATTAACAGGCTTTCCAAACGGGAGGTTGACGTCGACGACACAGACACCGGAGTGAGCCGTGTCTGCTTTGGCATCTCCAATCTGCAGGTAGACCGGAGCTTTGACAGTGAAGTTCACAGGCTTGGTGTCGTCAGGGGTCCCGCTCATCGTCTGGAAGAACAAATGAGAGGTCTGAAGTGAGTGACCTGTCTGCCACACAAGGTGAGTTCCCGCTTCTGTTCTACAGCTGATCTGTGGTTTCTGAACGCTTCTTTACGCGCCGTACAGCTCGGACAAATAAAGCTAAACCTGGGCCTAGTCCTGCAGTCTAATGAAAGGATCAGGAGGACAGCTGTCAGTGCTGCAGCTGCAGATGTGCGCGCTCTGTCAGCACCACGGACAGCGACGGCACCGCCGCTGGATCCAGTTAGCACAGAGGCTAAAAGCTCCACAGCTAACCGACGGCCAAGCACTGTCGGTGATTTCAGGCTAAAACAAACCGAAGCGGAAAAGCTCCGCTGCTTCGGGGCTCACCTGTCCGTGTTTCAGAGGGCTCGCAGTCGGTGGAGGTCAGCAGAAAGATGAAGAAAAGGCCCAAATGAACCGCTGAAAGTCGCAGATGTCAACATGCTAAAGAGAATCAGTTTTGCTTCCTGGTTGTCACCATGGCGACCGGGGCAGTCTAAAAGGGCCAGCAGTATGTCAAAAAAAAATTGAAACCGTCCCGTCAATGGAGCTGAAACCAGAAAATATACGTTTTTGCTTGAAAAATTATGAAAACTTTTCATTACGTATCACAAAGGGTGGTGGGTGCCATGATATCAAACTTTCAAAGTAAAAGCTATTGGTTTCTTATAGAAAGACTCGTATACTTTAAAATATTTCATACTTTTCCAAATGTTAGTGACAAGAAGTCATCAGGACATTTCAAAAAGTGTCGTTCCTACCCCCCGCCCGCCATTACGCACTCCTCAGCATAAAAGCCTTTGGTTAGTTAGTGTAACTTACAAAATAAAATCCTTCTGTTGACCGGAAGAGTCTTAAAGGGCCAGCAGCCCTCTGAGCCGCAGCAGTCTCCTCACAGATGGAGCCTGTTGTTCAGTTTATAATAATGTGCAGGGGCAGAACGAAGGCGAGTGTGGGCCCCTTAAAAAGTCCCCCCAATCATAAAGAAGTTTAACTGAGGTCCTCCCACTGTTTTCATGACAGCTTGGCAGATCACATCCAGCTTGCCTATGATCTCTTTTTATTAAATCAAATCATTCTACACCTAACACTTTAAAGAAGAGAAAAAAGAAAGAAATACAAAGAAACAAATAAGAAAACCATAAAAAAAAATTTGAGTCTCCAGTTCTGGTCAGTCTGTGTGATTATAGCCCCGGTTTCCTGCTCTTCCTCTTCTGCTGAAGTTAAAAAAAAAGAAAAGAAAGAAAGAAAGAAAGAAGCTCATCTGCTTCAGGGATGAACTGAGCGCTTCTGCATTCTTTGGTCGTAAGAATGCAGAAGTTCCTGTTGTCTTTACATCACTAAAAGCAGTCTGTCCATCCTCCTCTGACCTCTGATGTCAACAAGACATTTCCTCCCAGAGAACTCCTGCACACTGGATAGACATGAGAGATGTTTGAGCTTCAGCAGGTCACCATGACCACACCTCCAAGTCTAAAACAGTGGGTTGCTGACATGTTATTGGCTGATTACATAGTTGTTAAAATGAGCAGTTGAACATGTGTACCTAATAATGTTGCAGGTGTGTACATCATAATCCTGTATAGAAACATGCCTGTACTTATTTACAGACACCTACCACAGGGCCTGTCCTGTGCCACAGTCCAGTTTACAGCAGTGAAAATGTGCCACTGTTCTTTCCTTTCATCCTGTGTGAATGTCATGCAATATTTGGAAGAATTTTTGGTTGTTTGTTGATTGATTTTAATGTATTTTGAATGCATTTAGTTTGCATTGTTGGTCCCGAGACACTGCGCTGTGACTGCTGCAGCACTGATTTAGTAAAACTCGTGTTTCTTTATTTGATTTTGCTTTGCTAAGACGAGTGTTTATATATGCCGCCATGGGGATCAAATAATAATATTGACCTTAAATTCTTTTTTTTCCTAACAAACCAATGCTTTCCCAAATAATAGCTTTGTTCTAACATTTGTCTTTATTCTTTAAACATTTATAGAATAGAATAGAATACTTTTATTTGTCAATTTCTTCAAATGTACTTGCCATACAAAGGAATTGAAATTACGTTTCACACTGTCCCATGCGTAGACATTGACAACAATAAGGTGCAGATGCACAACAAAAACAGCCCTAACAATAAAGTAATAAATAGTAATATAATAATATAAATAGTGCTAAAAGAAATACTAAAAATATATATATAGTTGCAGGTGTGTGCAATTGCAATGCAAGTCAGGAATGTTTTCAGTTCTTGGTTCAGAGAGTCATGTTTCATGTTTTCTTCTGAATAAACAGCCACAGACACTAGTCAGTGAAACCTGGCACGGAGTCTTAGTTGCTTTTTGTTCATTTTTCTGTCCCTTGTCTCTTTTGCTTTATTTTGAAAGTCAGGTCTTGGTGTGCTCTTCTGTGTTTTTACTTCCCTCCTGTGTATTTCTTGTCCTGGTTAGAGGCTGTATCCCAATTCAGGGGCTGCAGCCTTAAAGTACGCAGCCTCAACGATCCTCAAGGGCCGCGTACTCAAAGACCGCTAAGGCCGGAAGTGCGAGGCTTGTGAAATGGACGGTCTAGCCTCCGTTGCGCTGCCCAGGTTGCCTAGCAACCATGATACTAACAGCTGGAAACGTGTCACAGCTGTGTTTGACAGAAATGAAGGAGACAATCTTTTGTTCATTTGTTTGTTTCTACATGAGCTTTGATCATTCTCTGTGAGATTAAGCTCAGCTATTGAACGGCGTATGTTTTAAAGTAAAGGCTTTAAAACCAAGTTAGCACAAACGTCACTAATGTCACATAACTTTGCCGACATGTGGCCAACAGTAATGTTTTAATGTTCTTCGTTATTAAACATTTGCACATAAATAAGTGACATAATATTCAGCACTTAGTTTACTAAGTTTACTCTTCGGGCGCCCCTCATCCGCCGTTTTTTTTTTCGCCAAAATTATTCACACCCACCGCCGCGCTATTGTTAAGAGATATACTCTAAAGCACTTCTTCAGTAAAGACTCAGAGAAGAGAAACACACAGAACTTCTTGCTAGCAAGGGCAGCCTCCAGACTGAGACTCGCACTGAGGACTGCCCTGGTCTTTATTTATATGCTTCAGTGAGCGTTTGTTCCATAAATTGGAATGTGCAGGTGTGTGTGTGTGTGTGATCCTGCTGAAAAGCACAAGAGGAACATCCTTGGTCATGAAGAGGGTAGTCTCCCCCTCACCCTAGATGGTTCACTCTAGATAACACAGTGAAGAAGTCCAGCAGTTCATCTAAACAAAAGGCACTTAGACTAAGACAGACATAGCTACGTTAATCCTACCGTAAAACAATAAAACAAGGTACGACCTCTCCCATACTCCTAGGATGTGGGGGTGAAGCCAGAGTGTCACAGACCTCCTAGGATGAGACATTCTTTCAATATGCCACCAACTATGTACTTCTAAACACAAATGATTACATGCAGCATTCTACCATATGCAAACTTATATCACTGAAAGATTATACTGACTACTAAGTACAATTTTCCATTGACAGCTATGCATTCTGGGATACGTTGGGCCACAAAGTCTACACCGCCACGTCCTTAAAATTCAGGGAAATGAAGGACGCATTTGAGGGCCGCATTTCGAGCAGCCTTCAAATTGGGACAGCCTTCGTCGCGTCGCTGTGACGTAATTGGCCTTAAAATGCGGCCTTTAAGGCTGCAGACCCTGAATTGGGATACAGCCATAGTCTCAGCTCACCTGTTCTCGTTACCCTCCTCTCTGTGAGCTCAGTCTGTGTGTCTTTGTCAGGTTGTCTTCTTCTTATTCAGATCTGGGATCATTTGCTGCTTTTCCTACACTTTGGTCCAAGCTTCCTGTTTAACTCTGGGTTTAAATAAAGGATCTTTTAAAATAACTGCCAGCTACTGATCCCACGAGCTTCTTACTGAAACACACAGTGCATCCAAAACCAATCAAATCACTTGGAAACCACAGAGTCAGCTACCTGATACATGTTCACCTTCATCATTGATTAAAGAAACAGATACAAGTCTGGCAGCTAACTTAGATAATAATATGAATAAAACATGTTTAATAGTTATTTACTGTGCTGCTACACCAAGTGTAAGTCTCATTGTTAGAGACCATCTCGTGGTGAGACCATTAAGGGGTAAATATGTACCAGTTACATATTCCAGCCTGTTCTGTGAGCTCTCACCGACAGCAGATGGCATCCTTACTGCACGGATCTCACCTGCATCATTTTAACGGCCTCCATCTCCTCCTCCAAGAGTCATTGCTTCATTCCTTCTCCACCCTGCACAAAAAACATAAAAACAGACAATCTCTGGTCAAAATGAGATTTGGGTGTGCAGCAGCGGTATCAGGGTGAGGCAGCACATCTATGGCTTTATCAGCCGGCAGCAGGAATCAGCTGTTATTAGAGGCTGAGCGCTGAAGCTGTGGACACAGCTGCCACCTTTCTACCTTTCCTTTTACATCTTCCTCTTCTGCACACTGAGGCCGAGTGGTGAAGAGGACTGAAATTAGGCACTGACAAGGTCAAATATAAAACATTATACAGCACATTCATTTTTAAATCGTCACCAAAATTGGCAAAATCATCTTCAGCCCAGGCCTCACAGAATATATCACATATTATTACTGATTTCTGACATTGTTTGACTTTCATAGTCAAAGACAAAGTTTAGCTAACAAACAGGAAGGAGGGCAGGACAAAGACATGCTGTGGAAGAGAGCCAGAGATTCATAATAACGAATAAACATGACTGCAGTCTGACACAAAAACTCTTTTTGTTGTCTATAGATCATGTCCTATTTTAATTCCTGACTTTTAAGCCTTAATGTTTGCATGGTTGAGGGCGTGGCCTAATTTTCACCTGGTAAAGGCTGTTTGACCATTAAGAGATATACACTATTTTTTCCTCATCAGTACTAGTTCATCATTAGATCTTTATCCACTAGTGACTCTGTGGCACGAGATCCAAATCCCAAACTGGTCTGATCCAATTGGATTTTCATGCTGTAGGCTCCTCTTGGCTGAACTAGTAGCTCTGACAGTCTTGCTAGTTAACTGTAAAACTGAAAAAAGGTTTAGCAGTTTAACACTGATGCAGATCAGTGGTTGTATAGCTCACTACTGCAGGTGCAGATCTGCAGCATGGATCAGATGCAGGAGTGTCTGCAAGGAGCTCCTGCAGGCACAACATGAAAATCCTTTGAGGTAAAAGTACAAAAAAATCGGTACATATGAGATTAATGATGAAAAATCACATTTAGTTTAGCTAAACGTAACCGTAAACATATGACTTGAAATGCGACCGGGTGTCCAGACTAATAGATTTCATGTTGGCATCTCTGCTGTGAGCGGCTGCTCTGTCACTCAGTTTCTCACTCCGTGTTTTCCTCTAAGCCCCTCTATCCCTGTGCTGCTATCACTCCAGCTCTGAAACCAAACACTGTGCCCCCCAGCCCCTCCGCCCGCCCGCCTCTGAGATACAGTACAATGGCATACATTCATCCATTCTGTTTATTGTGTTTGAAGCAGGGGGAGATGGGCTTTCCAAAGCCCTCAGATCAGTCAGTGTAGGAAGCTGGCACCGTGGTCCCTCGGCAAAAACAATCCCCTTTTTTCCCAGATGGTCTGCACAAGCGAGCATGGAGCTGCAGGAGCTTAGCGAGAGAGAGGAGAGGGGGGGAGAAGTCCATCATGTCCAAGGAGCAACATCCAGTTTTTATCTCAGAGACCCGGAGCCCTGGCATTCAGTCTGTCTGGCAGTTTATCTGTCTCCTTCCTTCTTTTAT